GCGGCCGGGCTGGCACCGCGGGGCCGGGACCCGGTCGGGGCTGCGCTCGGCGCTCGGCCCTGCGCGGCAGCTGGCTCCCGAGGGTGCAGCGAGAGCTGGGGATCCGGGCACCCAGGGGAGGGAGCCGGGCTCTGCGGGCCCCGCAGTTTGGCCTCGGGAGCTTCACAGCCAAGAGGCTTGGAGACGCTCGAACCCGAGAGAGCCCTAGAGACCCAGACGCTGCCCGGGACCGCCTAGCTGCGCGGGCTTCTGCGCCACGCCTGGAGCTTCCTTTTGGAGGGGCGACTCTCGGGAGGGGAGCAGGCTGGTGCTCTCAGCCTGGACGGGCAGCCAGGACGGGGCCAAGAGGGCTGAGCCAGGAGCCTGCACGTCGCAGCGCTCTGGTCCGCACGCACAGAACCTCGCGGCGCCTATTTTCACGGCGGCCTGCCCCAGTGCACACAGGTGAGCGCTTGGGAGTTGCTCTGTCCTCCAGCTGTGGGAGGTCCCAGGCACGGCACAGGCTGGTGCGGCCACTGCCGTGTGGGCTTGGCACCCACGGAGGCCCTAGAAAGTGCTGGGAAGCCAGCGGGTTGATGTCGGCGAGCCTCTCCCGTCCCCCTGCCCGCAGCCGGAGGACAGTGACCCTGTCCACCTGCGCCAGTGCTTGGTGCACGAGCTACGAGGACTGAGGCCGGAAGGAGGGTGGGGGCCGGACCCCCTTTCCTCGCACCCCTCGGGGACACGCTGCCCTGTGACTCTAGGAGGGCCCGGCACACCCTCCTGGGCGGAGTGGGCGCCCGGGCACGGGGTGCGGCCGTTGAGTGTCAGCTGCAGCGGCGGCGGTGGGGCTGGACAAGGGGCGGCCCCACGCGTCGGGCATCTGGCCGGCTCTCCAACAACGCCTCCATTATCTCCCAACGTCCGTGGCCATGGAACGGCCCCTGGGGAGGGCCGTGGAGGCGAGAGAGGCGGCCCGAAGCTCCCTGCTGCAAGGAGGAGCGTGCAGGGAGCGGAGCCTCAGGCTGGGGAGGCACCGTGGTCACTGCCGCCCTCGTCGCCCCCGTGGCCACGCCAGGGCCCTCCTGCAGCCACCGCGGACTTCTGTCCCTGCGCCGTCGCTGCCCTGCTCCCCTCCGGCAGGCAGGCCCAGGTCTTTGGGCAGCGGCTCCCCCACCCGGGCCCTCCGCTGGGGCAGAGCAGCTCTTACCCCGAGCGCCCCCGAAGGCGCAGAGGGCGTGCGTGGCGGAGGCCAGGGGCCTATCGCGGTCCCGCTCGAGCTCCGTTTCTAGCAGCATCGCGGTGGCGTGTGGTCGGAGCGGGAGTCCCCGGAGGGCTGCAGCTGCCCCGCCGACCAGCGCGCTCGCGGGTCGGAGCCCGGCGGCGCGCGGCGCTGTCCGCGGTGCTGAAGGCGGCGGCGGC